ATAGCCCTGTGGCCAGTCTGGGTCAGCTGTCCTGGCTGTGCCCCCTCCCAGCTTCTTCTGCACCACGCAGAGCATGGGAAGCTGAAAAGTCCTTGACCAGTGTAAGCACTGCTTAGCAACAACTAAAACATCAGTGTGTTATCAACATTATTCTCATACTAAATCCAAAACACAGCACTATACCAGCTACTAGGAAGAAAATTAACTCTATCCCAGCTGAAACCAGGACACCATCCTAATTTGCAAGTAAAGAGGCAGGTATGGCAGGGGCCTGCCTTAGTGGCACAGTGAATATATATATGACTGAGCTCAATAACAAAAAGGAAGCATATGGAAGGTGGAAGTGGGGACACGATGAGCAGGAATACAGCAGCATTGCCCAGGCATGCAGGGATGGAACTGGAGGGCCAATGCTTGCATGCAGTTAAAATTGATGAAGGATGTCAAGGGTAACAACATTCTTGCAGCAAAATGGGAGACTGAGTAAAATCTAGGCCTGCTGCTGAATACAGCAGGTGACCCTGCAACACAGCACACAGGTACTCAATGTCTTCTTTGTCTCAATTTCTACTGGGAAGGTCTGCCCTCAGGCCTCAGAGAGCTCCATGTCAAGTAGCAAAGAACAAGTTAGGGTCTATTTAAACAAGCTGGAAATGTAATACAAGTCCATGGGATTGGACAGGATACTTCTGAGAGTACTAAGACTGCCAGGAAATGTCATTGGAAGGGTACTCTCTGTCCCTTGTGAAAGGTCACAGGGATCAGAGGAGGCTTCTGACAACTATAAAAATGTTATGCCTGCCTCAGAAAATCGCAAGAAGGAGGATCTGGGTGATGACAGGCTGACCAACCTTCTCTCAGTCGCTTGGAAAATTATGGAGCAAGTACTCATGGAAACCATTTCCATTCACACAATGACAAGAATGTTCTTGAGAACAGCCATCTTGAATATCCCAAGGGCAAACTGTGTTTAGTCACTCTGATTACCTTCTAGAACTATATTACAGGCTTTCTGGATGAGGTTACAGTAGTAGGTGTTGTTCTCCTTGTCTTTAGCAAGGCCTTTGGTACAGTCTCCTAGTGTCCTTGCAGCCAAACTGGGGAGATATAGGTGGCCTCCAAGGTGGGTTAAAAACTGACCAGATCAATGACCTCAAAGGGTAGCTAATAACTGTTTGAAGTCCAATTAGCAGGTGATTCCAAGGGGCGTTCCCTGGGATCACTACAAGGGCTGATATTATTTAACCTTTTCATCCATGATCTGCATGATGAGACCCTTAGGAAGTACAGTGACACCAAATCAAGGGAGGCTGTTCGTATACTGGAGGGTATAGCTGCCATTCAGGGATACCTCAGCAAGCTGAATGAGTGTGTGTATAACAGATACATCTGTTTTGAAGTTCCAAAAAGATAAATACAAGGTCCTGCATCTGGGACAGGATATACTTAAGGAGGAGTGCAGGCTGGGACTAACAGTTCTACAAGAGAGGACTCAATGGACCACAAACTGAACAAAGTCAGCAGTGTGTCGTTGCAGTAATGAAGACTAAACACATCTTGGATCGTATTAACAAGACCATAGCCAGCAGGTCAAGGGACATGATTATTGTCCTCTATTCAGCACATACAAAGCCACATCTGGAGCACTGTGTTCAGTTTGTTCTCTCACCAAATAAGAGACTGAAGACAGTCCAGTGAAGGGTCATTAAGATGGCTAGGAGCTTTGACATACAAGGAGGCTGAGAGACCCGAGAATACCAATATTCTTATCACCTTTAATGGACTATTACTGCTAGAGCATTCGTGGCAGCATTCCTTATGGTCACATTATGCAAACAGATGCATTTTGGTAGTCCCATCCAGGAGACCTACAATGGCTATAGGCATATATTAGAGCACATTAATGCCACTAGCGCAGTACCTGATGATGTGCCACAGCAAACTTTGAACTGGGTTCCATGCAGACATTAAAAGGTAGCCTGAAGGTGGTACTGTCTCTGTGCTGCAAGCAGAAACTCCCATGGATGTTCTGTATTTCTGTGCCTGACAAACTCACGCCTGCTCAGGGACCGTTGCACAGAAAAATGATTTTTACATCAAAGAACAAACTGGCATCCTACCCATGAATGATTTTCCATTTATAGTTGCAAAGCCACTGCTAAAGAGGCCAAAACTAGTTTATAAAATATTTCTGCAGCTATAATTGTTTAGGACCACTGAACTGCGTGTTCCAAGCCAGATCAAAAGGAGCACCACAAACCCATGAAAGGCTTATGTGTAAAGACAGGGTAAATTCCATGTCTGGGATCCATCTGCAATTCTGTCAAACCAAGAGTCCTTGTAGCTGTACACAAATTAAATGTCTGTCTGCCAAAATTAAGTGAACGAAGAACAAATACCCCCTTATCACTTTTTTACAGTAACTACCTTGTTTTCTTTAATGTTAAATATAAAATGCCCTTCCTTTTACACTGTTGTGAAAATACAAATCAGATTGGGAGTTATACCAATACCAGACATTGATCGTGATCTTTTTTAGATTACCATTTTGCTTCAAACATAGATGTGTAAAGGTATGCTATACTCTTTTGACTCAAAGTATTACAGCTGATACAGCTGAAGAATACGTAGCTTAAATTCAACAGGATTTTGAGGAAATTCTGATTATTTTCTCAAATAGGTTCAAGACAAGTATATCACTGATTTACCATAGATTGACAAACACAAAGATGGATTTAAGAAATTGCAAATGCAGTTGGAATGAAAAGGCCTGATTTTTTTTTTTTTGTGGACTAGTAATATGTGCATGATTTTTCATGCTTAGCCATGTGAAAAAACATGAATTAATAACTACTTGTTGTGTTAATTCCCTAAATAATTAGCACTTATGCATACTAACATTGAATGCCAGTTTTCTCTCTTTAAAAATATTTGCTATTTCAATAACCAAAGGTCTCATTTGGGAAGCGAGAAACACTTCCTCTCCAGTTAAAACAATACTCATAACAAGCCACTGACAAGGATTATAGCAAAAGGCAGATACAGCTAAATTCTTTAAAATAAACCTGGAATATGTATCGTGAGATCACGAAATTTTCCTACGGTTTGTACTTGTTTACATTTCAGCAGCAATAAATGTAAGTATAGCATGCATGTGCCATTATCTGGAGAAACTTGCTAAAAACTTATTTTATGTGATTAGAGATAGCCAAAAGAAAGGATATCTAACACACACACAAAAAAAGCTTTCTTATTACTTTAGCTGATAAATCCAAAGCATTAGCTCTAAGAAAAAAAAATCCGTAAACATTAAACCTCCTGAATTCTTCAGCTGCTCAAGAAACCGAATGGTTTAGTTTGGTTTCTCTGCAAATACCATGGTCTGTACAAGAGGCAGTAACTTTTATAGCCCAACTGATCTAGCTTCAAAAAACACATTCTGGGACATGAAGGGTTGAAACTGCGCCTGAAAACTTGACCTTTACATCAGCTGGTCTAATCTAATAAAAGATATTACCTCTCCCTAGAAGCCCTTGCTTTGTTTATGGGCATGACTGCCTGAGATTACAGCACTACTATTATCAGACAATGCCAACTGCAAGGCTCTCCCAGTGCCCAGGGTGGGAAGGACTGCCAGCTCTTCAAGTGTTTGTCCAAAAATACCCTCATGTTAGGGATCCCCGTGCAGTATGGATATCTCCAGCTCCACTATTTTCGACAGAAATATGAGACACTCCCGTTATGCACCTGGGACTGCAGTGGCATAAAAGGGGTGCCAGTGCCCAGGATGAGGAGGTGCTGACCGCTTCAGTCGTCTGCAAACATCGTGGTGTTCCCCGGTTGAGCTTCAGCCTTGTGCATCTGCACACCACTTCTCCACGTACACACATCTGGGTAGCAGTCTAAGTAGCTGCTGGAACAGTTATTACGATATTATCACCCACCCAGCACAACACTAATTCATTTCTAAATCAGCGGCCCACAGCTTTTGCTGGACAGACACTCGGCACGATCCCCTGAACGCCCTCGGGCCTTCCTCTCCCCCAGGACTCTCCGAGCTGTCTCGGCCTCGGTCTTCCCTCAGGCGAGGCCGGTGCCGGGGGCCTGACGGCGGCCGCGCCCCCAGAGCCGGTAACGGGCCCCCCCCGGCCGCCCCCCGGGCCGG